CAGTTGGCAAATGGAGCCACGAACGGCACTCTTGCATAGCCTGAAAAATACAACATTGTGTATATATGTTAGTATAGTGCCGTCTATACGTACACTCTTGATACGGATTCCCATGATGTCATACGTTAACTATTAGACATTACAACAAGAAACGGACGGCAAACCATGACACTGGGTTGTYGGATACCTGATGATATACTAGTCGTCTGAAACTTCCAAATTATACCCGCCCTTGCGTTTGTGTATCGTAAGCAACAACTGGCCCTTGCCGTTTTGTTGTTCTCTATAGGAGGTCTAGCATACGTAACAATCTTGATCCGGATTCCCATGATGCCATACGTTAACTATTAGACATTACAAAAAGAAACGGACGGTAATCCATGACACTGGGTTGTCGTATACATGATGAATGATATACTAGTCGTCTGAGCATTCAAGAATATACCCGCCCTTGCGTTTGTATATCGAAAGCAACAACTGGCCCTTGCCGTTTTGTTGTTCTCTATAGGAGGTCTAGCATACGTTATTCCTATCAGCTGCCATAAGTTACAAATGATTTGTACTCGCACTTGCGTTGGCATATAGAACGACCAGTCGCCCTTGTCTACTGTTAAGTAAAACACTCCTTTAGTGTACACGTTTCTACGAACTTCTACATGCATAATATACTCGCCCTTGTGTTTGTATGACGCGTGTTTGACTGACGCAGACTTCAACAATACATGCCGCCCTTGCGTTGGTACAACGGGAATTAAAATGGCCCTTGCCGTTAACTCACTTTACAACAGCCCGATATAAATATAGCATTCATACCTTACTGTGGTCTTTTAACGTGAATAGAAGTCACATCTGTAAACACTAGCCTAGTAGCGAATTAGTGTTTCTTCCAAGTGTAAACGCTAATTTTTCCCTCCATATTAAAGTAGTCTCCCACAAACCGCTTATACCTATGTACCCGAGTTAATAAGTCGTTATCGATAACCTCTTCATTTGATTGATCCTGGTTGGTTGGGGATGTCTTGTAGCAGTCGGCGTATATGTAGGAGCTGTACGCAGGTTTTGTTGTCTTCTTTGAAAATCTCCAGCAGTCTTTGGACCAGTGGCAGTACTGAGCGCATCTGTAACATCTGAGGCTTTCCAACCTGTCTTCTTTATAGCCTATAAGCAGGAAAATGAGAGCAGAATCGACGAAAATTTGAACTAAATCTTAAACTACGCGAGTTACCTCGAAACTGGAAATTAACGACCCGACTGTATCCGAGAGGGTCGGGGGAGGGAAAGTATACTCAATGTATCCTGTAGATGGTCCACAAGCGTGAGTGAAGGGCGTGAACGACGCTTTCGCATAAATACTCTCAAAGTCCCCAGGGGAAGGACGTAATTAGCGTTCTATAAACAATTCTACATACCGAAGTAAAATACATTT